ATTACCTCTTCAGCAATACACCAGGATTACATTTTATGTTGGAAAGGACATACGCAAAGGCAATGTGATCTGTCAAAATACCTCTTTAGATCATTTTATGAAAGCCGTTCAATTTGGTTTCCGCTTTTGCACAATCACTGTTACAAAAGCTAACACCTTCATATGTGCATAATGCCTTTGATTATTCCAGCCGGTTTAGGAAATCATCGCACAAAATGGGTAAAGTGAAATGTTGTCGGGTTATCCAAGCTCTGTCAGTGATACAGTTATATTTTAGGCTCTGGAATTAGTAGAGCTTTTGTTCAATACTGTTTGATTTATCTCTAAACCAAAGACTAGCAATGGATGCATACAACTTCAGATAAAATCTACATTGCTTCATAAGCGTCCACAGCAGTTTGAACCAAGAAGTACGCATATTCCCACATATAACAGCGTCTCTATCTCACGGTATGAAAAAGAGACATGCTTTTCACATGATTATCATCATAAATAAGTACTCATTTTTTGCTGATATAAAGAAAAACCCAAGAGGCTTTTCTTGCCAAAACTACCATGAAAGGCAGTGGTCTCCTGGCCTCAAGCGTGACCAATAAGAATTGTCCACACTCAACTTCCGCGAAATTCAGCCAATGAGATGCAAGCTAATCTGTGCATCTACCTTAACTAATGTTTGGTGTTGTCTGCCCCTTTTTTGGAAAATTCGACAAGTCAACTTTCGGAAACCCTTTTATACGAGAATTCATAAATAACAAATTGAGCCTAGCTGAAAAAATTGAAAAATTAATTTTACTCATTTCAACATGTGTCATTTGATGCTATCCAATGAGTAGCACAAGTTTCTCTGATTAATAAATGGTAAAGGTATAAGCGCACTTATTCTCTTTGAAAATTCGAAATTTCCATAATGCACAGAAGGCGTAAGTACTCACTCCAGTTCTTAATTTCGTTCAATCATTTACGCCAAAATTCTCTGTAGAATAACAATTGCGCTGTGGAGTCAACAATAAAAGTCAAGTCACAGATTATTTTCAGAGATTGTAGCACTCCTTGATAAAACGTCTAATTTCGTTGGCACGAAACTACCTCATCTTGATGGGTTTAAATGAACAGCTCCAAAATTTTCTGTTAGAATCACTTTGAATTTTAAGTCATCGTCTCATTTCAGACAGTAGAGAATTTCGAAAGAGTTAGAACGAATCCTTTGCAGAATTGACAGATTAAATCAGCTTCAATAACTTGATAGAACTTAAACTATCTTAGTTGTGCCAGATTAAGTTAAAAATCTTAACCAAACTTTAAACATGAAGAAGCAAAGTGCGCACCCATTGTCTCCTTTTCCATTGCAGATTGCCGCGAGACGTCTTCCAAAACAACAGCTGATTGATTTCCACCACCATCATTGTACCCACCTCCACCGCTCGGGGATATCACCACCGCTGATGGCGCCGATGTTGTAGCTGTTGTTGTTGTTGTTGTAGTTGGAGCTATCGCTGAAGTGGTAGAAACCATCTTCCCTCCGCTTCCACTATCACCAGCTGACAGCTTCTCCGACAATTGTTCTCGGTAGTGAACGAGAGTGGCAGCTAATTCTGGGGATAGCTGCTCTAAGAAGGCTTTCTCTCCACCGCTGGCCTCAGCTAAAGCTGTGTAGGCTGCCATCAGTGTCTCTGGATCATTCCAATCGTATTCGTCTCCAACGGAGGTCGTTTGGACTGGAAGGTTGGAGTAGGAGGGTTGTTCAGCGCTCGGAGTTGCAAAATTCGCCATTGCAGTAGCGGCAGCTGCGCCTGCTACCGCTGCTAGTGTTACCTGATCTGCCAAACTGTTTTGATCTGGTGTTTGATGGGTCTGTGATGCGTGATTTGCAAGTAATTGCATCAGTACCGGGTTTCTCAAGAGCTTCTCCAAATTGGGATTAGTTAGGGGGTTAGTTGTACGCGGTGCAGTGAGGAGAGTAGCTTCTTGAACAGGGAGAATCACTCCTGGTGCCTGATTGTAATACGATTGTGGAGGATTCGGTTGTCTATCAATTCCCTTCTCCCAACTATCCGACATTAAACTCTTCAAAAGACGGCGATGTTCACGTTTACATTGTCGTCGGAGTTGCTCTGCTGTTGAGTCATAGCCATACAAACGATCCGTCGAGGCAGCATCAAGCTTGGCTCGTAATGCGTTGAAGGAGGTCTCTATACCCTTGTAGTTGTCTAAGAATCCTGTCGAAAGCTGTTCCGTTGATTTTGTCAACTCTAGGAGGTGTTTACTGTGAAGACTTTGCGATCGAAGGCTTCTCGTCTCTGAGGAAAGTGGAGGATGACCAGTATCGTGCTGAGAATCGAGAGCCAGACGTTCCGGACTGAAGCTACGCCATCGAGATTTGCTCCAGAGATTCCGTGAAGTGTTCCAATCCAAAGTGGAAAAATTTGACTCCCGATCAACGTGCCAACTTCCCCGACGCTTATACGGCAACGTAGAAGATTTGTTTGCCTGAGTGGAGTCATAACCCAGTCGCGCTATCGACATGTCTCCAGACATTCTGGCTGAGTTGGACGTTTTAATCGACTTCCTTTGATCCATAAACCGTTTTCGATAGCTGCTGTTCGACCCTCCAGAGTCACCACTTCCATACTCGTCTAGCATACTTCCAGAATATCGGTTAACGCGTTGGTAGCTACCGTTCGGAGCACTCCGATGCAATGCAAAACCTGACGACGACAACGTGAATTTGTCTTTGTTAACCAGAGGACGAGAACTATACTGATTGGGCTTAATTCTTGCATGCTTGGGCGACAAACTAGCAGAAATGGATTTATCCGGAGGGGGACTCCACATCGACGGAAAACACGTATCCTTCTCACTATACCTTTGCGAGGTGGTCACAGTCCGAGGCATTGAAGAGAGGGTAAAACTCCTGTGCTTCCTGTGGTTGGCAGAAATTCCATGAGGTGGCACATCTGGTAGACGTAAGTGTGCAAGTTGTTGCTGCCTTGCATAGGAAGTGTCGAGTTCACTTCGTGCAACATACGATTGACTTCGCTTCCCTCGTAATGCCGAAGTCATGCTGACGAGTACGGGATTCTCATAGGTCAAGCTGGAAAACAAATGTTGAGATGTTGTGAATTCAATATGCTGTTGTTCTTCAGAAGGTAAGAGAAGAGGGCATTCCTCCTCCCGTTCTTCGATTGTGGTGTCACAGATTTGCGTCAGATGAAGACGACGAGTTTTTGCCACTACTCTGCGTTGTACTTCAGTCGGTTCAGCCTCAGACTTGAGCAATGAAAGGGCATCCGTTGACTCAAGAAATGATGTCGATCCCCCACCGCTAGCAGTAAGGGTTCGGATAGCTCGGTCAAATTGTCTAGATTTACTTCTACAAAGAGCGCCCCACAGGCAGCTTCCAATAGCTCGTGATTGAGTATTCTGAGCGTCAGGAGATGCAGGACTCTCCAAAAGTAGAAGAGGAAAATGGTCCACAGACTGAGAACGGACAGTTTCAGTGAAGAGACTTAACGGTTCCTCCTCTCCGGATAATGTAACTGTCACTGTTTGCTGCTGTCGCAACTGTTGTGGAAGACGCGGGGAGTGGTGAACTAGTGAGTTTGGCAACAAGAGAACATTACACCCCTCCCCAGCAGGGTAGTGGGTGGTATAGGAGGGTGGGGAAGAGGGCGGTGGAGGAGGAGGGGGAGGGGGAGGAGTAGGTGAAGGTGGAGGAGGTGGAGAAAGAGGAGGGGGTGGAGGCGACACGACCTTGGATCGATGAGTAGAGCTTGAGTCCTCGTCTCCACTGCATCCTCTACATAAGTCCCCCATTTGCCCCACCTCATGCGCCTGTCCATGGGCCATTGGCTGATCCCATCCACCGCCTACCGATCGATAGCCTGTCTTTCTCGATGTGTCCGTCTCACCACCACGCGGCGTGTCAGGATGCGTCAGTGTGTCTGTAACACTGTTCTCTCGCATTGTAGATGACTGTTGGGCCTGTCCACAAGTCGGCGTGGAGCACACAATGCTCACACCGGAATCTGGGCTCATTTTCTTCAACAACGTGGTGGTGGAGTCGAGATTTTCAGAATCTTTGTGCACTTGTTCTTTCTGTGCTGTGGATAGGTCTCGTACTCCTAGGGATTCTATCCCTTCGTTCGCATTTGCATTGGCTGTGAAGACGGACTGAGAAGTGAGGAGCTCATCCATGACTGTCGTATTTGAGATATCCTAAATAAAAAATTATGATTAAACGAGTTTATCATTGTAAAGTAACAACTGCGTGAGTTATGAAGTGTTCTTGTGAATCCAACTTTGCTAAAAGCCTGAAATTATTTGCCCTCATGTAGCACACGACAAAATGGCTGTGTTACTCCGCAAGCGCACAACTCTTCAGTGTCACCTCCACCTTTGCTCAGCCCAAATGAACTCTTGTGTCGCCAAACTGAGCACAGATGTCATCACAGAGGGCACGTGGGAGTAAGTTCATAAATCACCGAATGATGGATCAGCACATTTGGCGAGAGCGAGAAATCTACAATGGCAAAAAGTTGCCTACCTAACGTGGATGTTGAAAGGGTTGTTGCAAGTCAAAATCAGGTTGAAGAGTTGTAGTACAAGTAATGCATTGATAACATCAGTGACCATTCAAATGTTCAGTCTTGAATTTCAAATTACTTGATGAGGACGTTGTGAGCTGCACCTCTCATCACCTCCAACAGTATGCAACGTGGACAGCAGAAATGCCTGCCTCAATCTGCTCACATTCTCAGGAAAAAACAGCAATCACGGCCGAGATTTGTCCCCTCGATACGGAAAATCTCTTTTTTGGAAAAAAAAGCAAGGTCCAATGTGTCAGTGGAAAGAAAGTCCTTTCCTTTTAGGTAAACGCAAAATTTCATTCCGCATAGGGCAGAATTAATTCGTGAGAAAACTTCCATTAAAATTAGGTAGAAGTGGGAGAAAGGAGAGTAGAATTACTGCCTTTGGTCCTCACCCTTCACTACAACATCACGGTTTTGTGACCTTCAATGTGTCAAACGGACAGTAAGGAAACAAAAGGAAAATAAAGTTGGCGATCGCTGTTAAGGCGATGTGTCCTCCTTACAGAGACAGCCATTCCATAACAATAAAATTTACCAGACTTGTGTCCTCTTAGAGGAAACAAATTATACCGTTCTTGACTTGTTTCTCAAGCACCCTCATTAAATAGACTCGGTTTATTCGGTCTGTGGGACACATCTCAAGAGCGCTGAGTCCACGACCTGAGGGAATCACCACAATTTTAAGTAAAGGGGTCTAATTGGAGTGATGGAACAACTGAAATTATGAGAGGAAGGAGTCACAAAGAATTCCACCACCCTCAATCCTGATCCAGTACAAATCTCGTCTTCCATCCTTGACCGGTGTTTCATCGAACAGGGACGCAGGGTCTGAGTTTTGTCCAGATCCTGCCAACTGTGATTAGTAAATGTACTTCCCTTTGAAAAAACTTTAAGCAACTTTTTAAATTTGGAATTTGGTGGCCTCTTGACTACCAGAGTGAATTGCATGGCATGCTGTTCTCAGATCTAAACAATTTAAGTGGATGCAATCTTTTAAAAAGGCCTCGTTTCAGTTCTTATGCATTCGGAGAACAAAATTTCTGTTTTAGCACCATAAAGGTGCGGAGTTAGGAACACTTATGAATGCCCTCACGTCAGGAATGTCAAAAACTGCAGTCTTGTGACAGACTTGCTATTAGCAACTCGGAGGGATTTTTTGGGATCGACTGAGTCGTGCAGCTCAAATGACGTCTGCACCCTGACTTCGAAGGCTTACAGAGGTAGCTCCTAGTGACGATGCCACACTCAGCTTGGAGAAGGCAGGAATTTTTATTCCCTCGCGTCAATCACGGATCACTTCAGCCTCATCCTCTGCAGACGCAATTAAGAAAGATGGCAGGAGACTGTGAAAATGCGTAGCTTGTGAGAATGAATGACGTTGCCATTTTACTGACAGACTGCAATTCAAACTCTTTAATATTTTGACCGAGAAAAGTTAATAAAACAAATTAATTGAAAACGTTCATGCTAAACTAACATTTGCCAGTTCAAAATCCGGTAGTGAAAGTCTCTCACCTACCGTCCAGGGCGTCATGTCTGTGATGATTCAGCAAGAAACTAGGAGTGTCTGATTTATACATCAGCCAAACGGGGCAGTGGGCAAAACCGGCCTTAGGATGGTGCAAATAACGCAGTTGTTAGTAAATATTTACGAAGAAAAAAAATTTGGGGAGATTTTAGACTGTGGAAAACCTTTTCCAGCACTCCAGCCCCCCTGAAAGTGGGTATTTGCGTGGAGTTGGGAGAAGTAAGTGACAATCCTGGCCTTAGCCCCCTCCATCTCCACATCTACTCGTAAAGGAGACTTGGATGCTTAGACATGGCAGAAGGCCTAAAATAAAAGCACAGTATTAGTGGTACATCAGCCTCTGCAACCAACTCTGCGGTGTTAGTCTCCGAGAAGCGCTTGACTGGGGGCTCAAAATGTCTGCTTGTTGCACAATTGAAGAACTGCAACAGAGCTGTTGAAAGACCAAAGTATGAAACATTCTTCAGCTCCTCAAATCGGCTCCCTCGCCTCATCTCTAGGCGGTACGGTGGAGCCAAGAATGCATTTTTGAAAATCTTTTTCCTATCCACCTAGAAGAGTATTCGTTTCACTTGTTCTCATGTAAAAGCCTCGATCTTCGTTTCGCTTTTATGTCTCAAACACCATAACCACATTGTTTACTTCCAAATTTATCTTTTAGTTAAACAGACCGACAATTTTTTTACCTTAACTTCCACCTTCTTGCCCTCAAATTTAAAATGCAGAAACCAACAGATGAAGATGAACAAGCAAGAACAGGAGAAACAAAAAACGCTTAAAAGCAGAACCCACCACGACGAAAGAAAAGGACGTTTTTACTCCTCGAGAAGGCTCCACTTCTACAAAGCGGTTTTGTGTGCAAAAAAGGCATTTTTAAAGGCAAAAATAAAGCGC